TCTGCCAAGTTGCCTAGGCGGGTCTCAAACCCGCGGGCTCAGGCAGTCCACTCACCTCAGCCTCCCAAAGGCGCGGGATTAGAGGCTGAGCCACCGAGCCCGGCTCACACACCAAAATTAACAGTAATCTCTGAACAGCATCTAATACTCTGTCCATATTTAAACTTCTCTCCTTCACCTAAAAATATGCCTGCACCCTTAGCTTGTTTGATTCAGAACACTAACGAGCAGTGGTTATGTCTTCTAAGCGTCCTTCAATGGAAAATTCCTCCTCTCCTTTTAGTTTCCATAATTTATTGAAGAAACCAGATTAATCACCTTGTAGAATGTTCCATCTCCCCTTCTCTCTCTCTCTCTCTCTATCTCTCTCTTTCTCTTTCTCTCTTGTAGAGACAAGGTCTCACTATGTTGCCCAGGCTGGTGTCGAACTCCTGGGCTCAAGCAATCCTCTTGCCTCGTCCTCACAAAGTGCTAGGATTATAGGCATGAACCACTGGGCCCAGCCTTCATCTCCCTTTCTCACTGCTTCCTCAAGGAGTCCTATAACTTGCTCCTGTGTCTCGTTTACTCCCTGTGAACTGGAATTTAGATCATGACTTGGTAAAGTTTAAGTCACACGTTTTTGGTAAGAACACTACAATAGAAACTGGGCATGGTGGCTTTCACCTGTAGTCCCAGCAATTTGGGAGGCTGAGGCAAGAGGACTGCTTGAACCCAGGAGTTCGAGACCAGCCTGGGCAGCATAACAAGACCTTGTCTCTACAAAAATTAACAAATAAGCTGAATGTGGTGGCACACACCTGTAGTCCCAGCTGCTTGGGAGACTGAGGTGAGAGGATCACTTGAGCCCAAGAGGTCAAGGCTGTAGTGAGCCGTGATCGTGCCACTACACTCCACTACACTCCAGCCTGGGTGGCAGAGTGAGACCCTGACTTAAATTTTAAAAAAGCACCGGACAGGGTGGCTCATGCCTGTAATCCCAGCACTTTGGGAGGTGGCGGCAAGAGGATTGCCGGAGCCCATGGGTTTGAGACCATGAGCAATGTGGCAAGACCTTCCTTATCTCTACAATAAATTTTTAAAAAAATTAGCCGGGCATGGTGGCATGTCCCTGTGGTTCTACCTACTTGGAAGGCTGAGGTGGAAGGATCACCTGAGCCCAGCAGGTCAAGGCTGTGGTGGCTGTGAACTTGTTACTGCACTCCAGGCTGAACAACAGTGAGAATCCGACTCAAAAAAAAAAAAAAAGAAAATCATCACAAAATTCAGGTTCCCCCAAGAAGGAGGTGGGGAGATGGGATGGGGAGGGGTGATGAACAAGCAAATATGTAAATAAGCTCAAAAATTAAGGGGCCAAGAGGACAGTGCACAAGGCACGAGGACTTCACCCCGATTTGCACACACAGGTGGAGAAGGGGAAAGGGAGACATGAGGTTGATTTGGACAGACTTTGGTCTGACACTGGCTCAATCAAAAAAGAAATATAATTCCTAACAGAAAGGCAGAATAGGCACTTGTCCCCTTTAATGACCACTTTTCAGCATTAGAGCTAGTGTGGTAGCTGCCTTCAATGGTCCCACTTATTTGTTTTGCCTTCTCTTTTTGGAATATCATTATGAATTCACAAATTTTTTTTTTTGACTTGGGGTCTCACTCCAACACCAGAGCTGGGGTGCAGTGGCATACTCACTGCCACCCCATCGTTGACCCACTGGGCTCAGGCAGTCCTTCCACCTCAGCCTTCCAAGTAGCCGGAATCACAGGCTCACGCTACCATGTCCGGCTCATTTTTTAATTTATTGTAGAGACGAGATCTCGCCAAGTTGCCTGGGCTGGTCTCGAACCCACAGGTTCAGGCAATCCACTCGCCTCAGCCTCCCAAAGTGCTGGGATGACAGACTGAGCCACTGAGCCCAGCCCCATGAAATGAAAAATATTTCGTTTTCTTCAGTCAGTTGCAGTTATTATTCTTTTTTCTGTTTTGTTTTTGTTTTGAGACAGGAAGATGCTCTGTCACCCAGCATGGAGTGCAGTGGGTGGTTATGGCTCTCCGTCACTTTGACCTGGGCTCAAGTCATACTTGTTGCCTTAACCTCCTAGGTAACTGGGACTATGGGCATGTGCACTGTGCCCAGTTAATATTTTTAATTTTTAATTTTGTAGAAACGGGGATCTCACTATGTTGCCCAGGCTGGTCTTGAACTCCTGGACTCAAACGATCTTCCTACCTCAGCCTTCCAAAGGGCTGGGATTACAAGCATGAGCCGTTTCACCTAGCCTCCATTTTCTATTTTTAGATATTTTTCTTTTTTTTTTTTGAGTTGCAGTCGCATTCTGTCACCCAGACTGGAGTGCAGTGGCCAGTCCCGGCCACCGCAGCCTCGACCTGCTGGGCTCCGGCGATCCTTCCGCCTCAGCCTTCCGAGTAACTGGAATTACAGGCCCGTGCTACCACGTCCAGCTAATTTTTGGTTTATTGTAGAGATGAGGTCTCACCAAGTTGCCCAGGTGGGTCTCGAACCCGCGGGCTCAGGCAATTCACTCACCTCAACCTCCCAAGGCGTGGGATTACAAGCTGAGCCACCGAGCCCAGCTAGATATTTTTCAAGTTAAATTTAATTTGTTGAACCTGCAGAACACTTACATGGTTTCAAACTGAAAAGTACATAATAAAGTGTATGAGGAAGAGCTTCTTGGGTTTATTGAGAGTTCTCTTTCGCTCATATTCACTTGAAGCTGCGTGTTGAATATTAAGTGAAAGATCAAGTAGATTTACTGTGAAATAGAACAGAGAAATGGGGCTGCAGCTAAAATGAAACGAAATCCAGAGAAGGCGCTTTGTTTTTTCTTTTCCTTTTTCTTTTTTGAATGAGATGAGAAGTGCCACACATTTGTACACGGATTGGCATGATTCAGTAGAAAGAGAGAACCCGATGATGCAGAGACCGCACGTGGGGGCTGGCGTTTGCTGGGAACACGGAGCCCTCCTCCACAGTGACAGGAAGGGAGGCAGAGAGGGTGGGAACGGGGGTGCGGAAGTGGGAGATCTGGTGGGGAACGGCAAAGCGAGGAGCTCTTTTCTGATTTTCTTGTTTTCCCGATGGAGTCTGAGGGGAGGTCAGTGGCCCATGGGCAGTGGAAGAGGCATTGGGAGGCTTGAGGAGAAAGGTTGAGTGATGGTTTCATCGCCTCACTGAGTCTGTCCCGTGTGCTTCTGAAGCTTGTTGTGCTGGCAGTCTGTCACTGAGCCTTCAGTGAACAGCTGTTGCTGGGGGCCGGGAACAAAGTCTAGTGGAGGCATCCTATATCCTCCCCCTCTTTGTGCAACTCTGAAGCCGAGGAGCCTGTTTGGAACTGGGTGAGAAGTGAAGCCACTGGATTCTCTTGCCTTTTCATTCATTCATTCATTCATTCAACAAATATGGGCTCAGCCTGTAATCCCATCACGCTGGGAGGCCGAGGCAAGTGGATTGCCTGAGCCTACGGGTTCAAGACCCCACCTGGGCAACTGGTGAGACCTCGCCTCTACAATATATCAAAAATTATCCAGGCATGGTAGCGCACGCCTGTAGTTCCAGCTTCTTGGAAGGCTGAGGCGGAAGGATCGCCGGAGCCCGGCGGGTCGAGGCTGTGGTGGCCGGGAGTGTGCCACTGCACTTCACTTTGAGCAACAGTTGGAGCGAGATTCTAACTCAAAAAATATATATGTGTGTATTGTGGGCTGGGCGCAGTGGCTCATGCCTGTAATCCCAGCACTTTGGGAGGCTGAGGTGGGAGGAGTGCCTGAGCCAGGAAGTTGAGGCTTTGACAAGCTGTGATGAGGTCACTGCACTCCAGACTGGGTAACAGAGTGAGACCCTGACTTTTTTTTTAAAAAGGCTCATGCCTGTAATCCCAGCACTTTGGGAGGTGGAGACAAGAGGCTTGCCTGGACCCGTGGGTTTGAGACCTGCCTGGGCAACTTGGCGAGACCTCGTCTCTACGATAAATCAAAAAATGAGCCGGGCATGGTGGTACATACCAGCAGTCCCAGCTACTTGGGAAGGTGAGGCGGAAGGATTGCCTGAGCCCAGCAGGTGGAGGCTGCAGTGATGTCAGCGTGCCACTGCACTTCAGCCTGGGTGACAGTGAGACTCCGGCTCAAAAAAAAAAAACAAAAAACAACCAGCCAGGCGTGGTAGCTCATACCTATAATCCCAGCACTTTGGGAGGTGGAGACAAGAGGACTGCCTGAGCCCATGGATTCAAAACAGCAGCATGGTGAGATCTCGTCTCTAAAATAGATAAAAAAATTAGCTGGGCCCGGTGGCACACGCCTGTAATACTAGCTACTTGGAAGGCTGAGGTGGAAGAATAGCCTGAGTCCAGCAGATCTGTGCTACAGTAGCCATGAGCACGCCTCTGCACTCCACCCTAAGCTACAGAGTGAGACTCCAACTCAAAAAAACAACAAAATGCAACTATGTATTGTGCACCTACCAAGTGCCAAGAACTGTGCTAGACACTGGCAAATCAGGTGAAAATCCCTGCAGTCACAGAGCCCACCCCTTTGCATCTTCTACCTGGATCACTCTTGTCCTGGATGTGAGAATGATTGAGTGAGCACTGGGCCCCCAGCTGCCAGAAAAAACGGGCCCTGGAGCCCTCGACTTGGGGTGGTTTCTGCCGTTCAGTATGCCCCCTGCCATCCCTTGCAGGACTACGAGAAAGCCCTGTTCTTCCCCTGCAAGGCCGCGGAGCTCGTCAACGACTATGGGAAAGGCTGGAGCCTGAAGTACCGTGCCATGAGCCAGTACCACATGGCTGTGGCCTATCGCCTGCTGGGTCACCTGGGCAGTGCCATGGAGTGTTGTGAGGTGGGGCAACAGGGAAGGGGGTGGGGGCATGAATCGGGGTCCAAGGCCCAGTACAGCAGAGCCTCCTTCCAAATCAGCCCATGGAGGCCCTCAGGCTTGCCCCTGGCCCAGTCTCTATAGAACTGAGCCCCCAAAACATGCATCTTTTCCCCCAAGCCATCCCAAACCCTGTTCCCCTCCCGTCCATCCTCGGGGGAGAGACTTCCCCCAGTCCTCAGCACTCTCTGAGAAGCACTTTGAACGTAGATAAGAAAGAGAACCAGTCTCTGAAGCTCCACTGACCTGGATTCACGTCCCAGCCTCTCCACTTGCTGAGTGAGCTCAATCAAGTCGCTACTCTCTGAGTCTGAGTTTCCAGTTGACAATTGCCACCTTGCTGGGTGCTATAACCTCAGTGAGGCCTCAGCACCACGACAGGCTCTGAGGATGTTGGTTTCCCCAGGCTGTGACTTCAGAGAGGCCTACTGGGTGGAAGGTGCCCAGTGACAGGGTAGGCGAGCAGGCCTGAGCGACCCATCTCCCTGCAGGAGTCGATGAAGATTGCACTGCAGCACGGGGACCGGCCACTGCAGGCCCTTTGCCTGCTCTGCTTTGCTGACATTCACAGAAGCCGTGGGGACCTGGAGGTGAGGACACCAGGATGCGGGGATACAGGGCCCCGGGACAGGGCCAGGGGCCTGGTGCAGCCTGACTCCGTCCCTCACCTGGCTTTCCAGACAGCCTTCCCAAGGTACGATTCCGCCATGAGCATCATGACCGAGATCGGAAACCGCCTGGGGCAGGTGCAGGTGCTGCTGGGTGTAGCCAAGTGCTGGGTGGCCAGGAAGGCGCTGGACAAGGTGAGGTCGGGCCCTTTCCCACAGCCTCCAGCCTCACCCTGATCCTGTGAGGCCAGGACATTTCCAGATCATTCTCCAGGCTGAGAGAAGGCCCCTGACTTGCCCAGGGTCCCACAGCTTTAGTGAAGGGCCAGAGCTGGGGTTTGAACTCAGGACACTGAGTAAACTGAGGCAGGAGGTATCTCGCCTACAAGTCTTGTGGCTTCATCCTTCACACACAGGGCAGCTGCCCATCCATGTCCCTCCCCAGGTCTAGCCTCCCTACCCCATTCTTCCTCAGTAGCAAAGGTCTCTGTCAGATAGCTCTGCCCACAACCCTGGCCTGTGCTTACCTTCCAGGCTCTGGATGCCATAGAGAGAGCCCAGGACCTGGCCGAGGCGGTGGGGAACAAGGTCAGACCTGATTCTGTCTCCTGGGTCTGGGGTCAAGAGCCCGAGAGGGGGTCTGGGGTTTTAGGGGAGAGTGCTCTGAGCCTGCTTCCCCGAGGATTCCTACACCCTGGCTCTTTCTCACCAGAGAGCACTTCTGGGGGTGGGACAGGAATTTCACAGCTCAGAGGAAAGCAGAATTCCTCAGAGGCCTCCTAATACTGGTGAAAACGAATACTAACAGTGGTCTTCAGCACCTGAGAGCTGGGCACACAGGACTCTTAGAGGCATTGGTTCTGGTTCTCACTGTCTAGGTGGGTACACTAAGCCCATTTTACAGATGAAGAAAGTGAGGCTCAGAGAGGCGCTCAAGGTCTCACATCTACTAGCTGGTCTGTCTGAACTCCAAATCCCATGTTCCTTCCGGAGTATATGTGGCTTCTTCAAATTTAATAATCCTATCTGGTGCTTGCTTCGGCAGCATGTATGCTAAAATTGGAACAATACAGAGAAGTTAGTATGGCCAAAGTAACAAAAACAAAAATATAATAATCATATCCAAAACGTAAAATGTTGAAAACAGACAGTGTTTCTCGAAGTCTTCTGGAAGATGTGCATTTCTCTGGGATCAAATGCATCGACCTACTAAAATGCCGAATATATTTGCTTTTGGTGGGATTATAGCCACTCGTCAGGCTGCTCAGAAATTATGATGAGCCGTTGTGTGTGTATTTAATAAAAGCAGGAAAGTGACCAGGGTTGGTGGCTCATGTCTGTAATCCCCCCACATTGGGAGACTGAGGTGGGAGAGTTGCTTGTGACCAGGAGTTCTAGACCAGCCTGGACAACATGGAGAGACCTCATTTCTAGAAAAAAATTTAAAAAATTAGCTGGGTGTGGTGGCAAATGCATGTAGTACCAGCAACTTGGGAGGCTGAGGCAGAAAGATCACTTGAGCCCTTAAGTTTGAGGTTGCAGAGAGCTACGATCACACCACTACACTCCAGCCTGGATCACAGAGCAAGACCCTGTCTCTCAAAAAATAGAAAAACAAATTAATTATCATGGAATCAATACAGCAGGTTTGGTCAATAAGAGTATTCAAAAGCATGGAGTGCCCAGGTGGTTCTGGGGTGAAGACCTCTGATTTTTTTTTTGGTTTTTTTTTGAGTTGGAGTCTCACTCTGTCACCTAGGCTGGAGCATAGTAGCATGCTGATGGCCACCACAGCCTCGACCTTCTGGGCTCAGGCAATCCTTCCACCTCAGCCTTCTAAGTAGCTGGATCTACCGCCACGCGCCACCATGCCCAGCTAATTTTTTTGACTTATTGTAGAGATAAGGTCTCACCATGTTGCCCAGGCTGGTCTCGACCCCGTGGGCTCAGGCAGTCCTCTCATCTCAGCCTCCCAAAGTGCTGGGATTATAGATGTGAGCCACCGTGCCCAGCCAGACCTCTGATGTTATTCTGCAAAGAGGGAAACGGAGGCCCAGAGAGGTCAGGACACTTTTTGCAGATCCCTCAGCAAACAGGGAAATGGCTGGGACCAGACCACCTGTGCTGACTTTGCTCTCCTGCCCTCCTGGCCCCAGCTGAACCAACTCAAGCTACACTGTCTGAGTGAGAGCATCTACCGTAGCAAGGGACAGCAGCGGGAGCTGCGGGCGCACGTTGTGAGGTTCCACGAGTGTGTGGAAGAGACAGAGCTCTACTGCGGCCTGTGTGGCGAGTCCATAGGTGAGAAGAACAGCCGGCTGCAGGCCCTACCCTGCTCCCACATCTTCCATCTCAGGTGAGGGCTCCTGGCGGGGCAGGCAGGGCGGGTAAGGTCTCTCAGGGAGTCAGGGCCCAGCTGGCCTAATCACAACAATCATACTAGTAGTAAATCCCCGTGCAGTCCATGCCCAGCTGTATTTCTAATAGCTTCCCCTACTGTGACTCATTGAATCGTCCTAGCAGCCCACCTAGGGGTGGCCATTCTTATCAGAATCCCCAAAGAGAAGTTAAAGAGGCCCCTCAAAGGTCATTAAGCCGGGCACGGTGATTCATGTCTGTAATCCCAGCACTTTGGTAGGCTGAGATGGGAGGATCGCTTGAGCCCAGGAGCTCAAGACCAGCCTAGGCAGCATAGTGAGTCCCCATCTCTACAAAATTACAAAAATTAGCTGGGGCCAAGATGGGGGAATTGCTTGAGCCCAGGAGTTCGAGACCAGCCTAGGCAACATAGGGAGACCCCATCTCTACAAAAAAATTTAAAAAGTAGGCCAGGCTCGGTGGCTCAGCCTGTAATCCTAGCACTTTCGGGGACTAAGGCGAGAGGATTACCTGAGCCCACGGGTTCGAGACCTGCCTGGGCAACTTGTGAGACCTCGTCTCTACAATAAATAAAAAAATTAGCTGGGTGTGGTAGCGCGCGCCTGTAGTTCTAGCTACTTGGAAGGCTGAGGTGAAAGGACCGCAGAGCCCAGCAGATCGAGGCTGCAGTGGCTGGGAGTGTGCTACTGTAGTCCAGTCTGGGCGACAAAGTGAGACTCCAACTCAGGAAAAAAAAAAAGTAGCCAGGCATAGTAGCATGCCCCTATAGTCCCAACTACTCAGGAGGTGGAAGGATCGCCTGAGCCCAGCAGGCTGCAGTGAATGGTGATCATACCACTGGACTCCAACCTGGGCAACAGAGTGAGACTCCACCTCAAAAAAAAATCATCAGAGCCGGGCTCGGTGGCTCAGCCTATAATCCTGCGCCTTTGGGAGGCTGAGGTGAGTGGATTTCCTGAGCCCGCGGGTTTGAGACCTACCTGGGCAACTTGGCGAAGACCTCATCTCTACAATAAATCAAAAATCAGCCGGGCATGGTAGCGCATGCCTGTAGTTCCAGTCACTTGGAAGGCTGAGGTGGAAGGATCTTTCAGAGCCCAGCAGGTCGAGGCTGCGGTGGCCGGGAGTGGCCACTGCACTCCAGTCTGGGCGACAGAGTGAGACTCCAACTCAAAAAAAAAAAAAACAAAAATCATCAGATCAGATGCCCAGGGCCAGACCTGCCCTAGGGCTGTGGCAGAAACCGGTCTTCATGCCAGCTGCTGACCAGTGGCTGGGGATACCTACCCAGCTCTCGCAGAGGGCAGAGAAGGTAGAGAGAGAGGGCCCGGGTTTCAGGATAGAAGGAAGGATGGGCCTCAGGGGAGTGGACAGAGCCCTTTGCTTCCCAAGGTGCCTACAGAACAACGGGACCCGGAGCTGCCCCAACTGCCGCCGCTCCTCCATGAAGCCTGGCTTTGTGTGACTCCCCACAGCAGCTGTGGGCTTCCGTCTCCGTCCCCCTCTCCATTTCCATGGATGGCCCCTGTTTACTCCTGGGGCAGCTGCCAGTGCTTCCTTGCTGCAACCAGGGCCTAGAGCCTGCCCACTGCTGCTCTGCTCAGCCCAGCTGCCCACCCTGCCTCTTTGTACTTTGCTCTTTCTAGAAAAATAAACTGTTTGTACCTGTTCCCAGTGATTCTAACTTTCTGTGCCCGAGGTATAATGGGGTGGGGAGAGTGGGAGTGAGGCTTCCCATGGGACTTCCTCAGACACAAGCCTTTCCTTTGCACGTATGCATGAGGGCTTCCCGCTGCCCCTCCAGGAACTTGGGATGCCACAGTGACCTAGAGATCAGATCCCTGCCGTGAGATGCTGATAGGGGTAGAGAGAGAGAGAGATGATGAACAGTAAACTTAATAAACAAGCAATGTGGAAAGGCTGGTAGAAAGCTGCTATGGGCTAGGTGTAGTGACTCATGCCTGTAATCCCAGCACTTTGGGAGGCCAAAGTGGGAGGATTGCTTGAGCCCAGGAGTTTGAGACTAGCCTGGGCAACATAGTGAGACCTTGTCTCTATAAAAAATAAGAATATTCATCAGAGCTGGGCTCCGTGGCTCAGCCTGTAATTCCGCACCTTTGGGAGGCTGAGGTGAGTGGATTGCCTGAGGCCAGGGGTTCAAGACCCACCTGGGCAACTTGGTGAGACCTCATCTCTACATAAATCAAAAATTAGCCGGGCATGGTAGTGCGTGCCTGTAGTTCCAGCTACTTGGAAGGCTGAGGCAGAAGGATCGCCGGAGCCCAGCAGGTCGAGGCTGCGGTGGCCGGGAGCGGCCACTGCGCTCCAGTCTGGGCAAAAGAGTGAGACTCCAACTCAAAAAATATATATATATATATTCATCAGGCATGGTGGTGCATGCCTATAGTCCCAGCTACTTGGAAAGCTGAGGCAGGAGGATCACCTGAGCCCAGGAGGTTGAGGCTGTGGTAAGAGTGCCATTGCACTCCAACCTGGGTGATAGAGTGAGACTCCAACTCAAAAAAAAAAAAAGGAAGAAAGTTGCTATAGACTGAATTCTGTCCCTCCAAATTTATATTTTGAAACCTTAGTTCGTTTGGGCTGCTATAATAAAACACCATAGTCTAGGTGGCTTATAAACAATAGAAATTTATTTCTCACAGTTATGAAGTCTGAGAAGTTCATGATAAAGATGCCAGCAGATTTGACATCTTATGAAGGTTCAAGTTTTGGTTCATAGATGTTGCCTTCTTGCTGTGTCCTCATATGATGGAAGGGGTCAGGCAGCTCTATAGGTTCCCTTTTATTATAAGGGCTCTAATCCCATTCATAAGGGCTCTATTCTCATGGATGTAATCACTTCCCAAAGGCCCCACACATAATATGACAGCCCTAACAGGCTTTTATAAAAGCAATCAGTGCTTTGGAACAGTAAAGAGTAGAGTATGGTCTCTCTTCCCTATCTTTATTCTGGTTCCTTCTCCTCAGTCCTAAAACCATCAGGTGGGACAGAGCAAGACAAGCAACCATGTGGAGAGTCACCTGGTATGGGACATTGGAACCCAAGCAGGGTGAGGAGGGCGTCCACACAGGGGATCAGTATGGGGAGTAAGAACCTGTGTGGAGAGATGAGGAATGAGGGTAGAAGGGGCCACCTGGCATGGGGTGTTGGGGCCTAAACAGTTTTAGGGGACATCCAAGTTGGTGAAGGTCTGTGTGAGGCATCAGCTACTCAACTTGAGTAGTGTGGGTTGGTTACGCATGTGTTTGGGTGACCTGGAAGGAGGTATTAGAATCAAGATGGAAGGGGGTATTAGGACCAAGGTGGGATAGGGGTATGTGCATGGAAGGGAGTGGCAATGGGAGATTGGGTACACAGAGAGGGATTGATCAAACAAGTAAATATATTAAGGACATGGAAGCCAGCTGTCTCATTATGGAAGAGGAGAGTTACAAATATTGGAAGGAGCTGGGCTCGGTGGCTCAGCCTGTAATCCCGCACTTTGGGAGGCGGAGGTGAGTGGATTGCCTGAGCCTGCGGGTTCAAGACCTGCCTGGGCAACTTGGCGAGACCTCGTCTCTACAATAAATCAAAAAATTAGCTGGGCGTGTTAGTGCACGCCTGTAGTTCCAGCTACTTGGAAGGCTGAGGCAGAAGGATCGCTGGAGCCCAGCAGGTCGAGGCTGCGGTGGCCAGGAGTGGCCAGTGCACTCCAGTCTGGGTGACAGAGTGAGACTCCAACTCAAAACAAAAACAAAAACAAATTGGAAGGGAGAAAACCAGAAGGGATCCTATGGTGTTGAGTTTGAATTGTAGGGATCAGTGTGAACTCATGGACCTCAACATATATAGCTAGATATTGACATAAATATTGTTTAAATTTGCTTGTGTGTCCACCAGTCACTAAGATGGGCTCCCACTGGCCCACTGATCATGAGTAAGAATGATTGTTGTGGCTCAGGCTGCCATAACAAAATACCGTAAAATGGGTGGCTTAAACAACCAAAATTAATTTTCTCACAGCTCTGAAGTCTGGAAGTAGAAGATCAAGGTGCCAGAAACCTCAAGAAGCCTTTCTTTCTGGCTTGCAGATGGCTGCCTTCTCTCTGTGCCCTTACATGGCACTTCCTCAGCCAGGCTCGGTGGCTCAGCCTATAATCCCATGCCTTTGGGAGGCTGAGGTGAGTGGAATGCCTGAGCCCGTGGGTTCGAGACCTGCCTGGGC